CTGTTGATAGTCTTGTCACAGGGGCTGAAGGATCCAGAATTTTTTTCAAACGACGGGGTGAAGGCACAACAGTTTCAGAATAGAAGTGAGTAGCACCTAACATTAATATGCATTGACATTTATAAAATTTAGTGGCAAGACGGGGGGAGGGCACGTGCATCCCTGTGTCCCCCACACTGGATCTGCCCCTGTGGCACACTACCACACCAATGATTTGTGCACCTTCTGATACCATATACGTAAAAATAATTGAAATTTCTATGGTGAATAAAAATTACAATTACAGTTACTCCCATTTACAAATATAGGCCTAAATCGTAAATCTACAAATACTGTTACTACACTATATAATTCAACTAACTGTAGAAAAAAACTGTGAATTCTACGTGCGAAATTCTATAGTTTTAAAATATAGGACCTAAGTGCTTTCTATCGGCCATCTGTTTTAGTCGGATTTGCCAAGACTGTAATTCAGACATGGAATAATTATCAAAAAGTACCAAAAACATTTCAGACCTTTAGTGCACAGAGCATTTTTGGCATTTACAACAAAGAAATACAAAAATAGGGCGACGATAAATTCACCTTTGTTGTAGTTTGCACTAAATGCATCCGCTCGAACTGACATCTGCTCGAATTAACTCATCCCTTTACAGGATCGACCTGTGAGCTGAAAATTAGTAAGTCATTTTTTTATTTTTGGGGTTTATTGATTCATACAAAAAAGAATATGTACACACATACATACATGACAATTTTATCTTTTAAAAACTTTCTTAATTCTTAATTATTTGTATTGTATATATATTTAGGAATGTTTATGTTACTTGCATTGCTTTTCAATATTTTTTTAATTATGCAACTGTACGACTTTGAAAACAGTACACAAGTACTGAAAGAAAATAAAATATCCTTGTACTATGAAAATAAAAAAAATATTTATTTGTCTAACATGATTTTGCAAATTAATTTTCATCAGCGTGTACAAGTATATAAAATGTATAGGCCCACCTAATCACAACAAAAATACTTTTCGAAACAAGCCGCGTTCGTCCGCCCACCATGCCATGCACACCTACAAAGAAACTGACTTGTATTGTTATATAACGGAACTAAAAAAAAAAAAACGAATTGCAATTGTTTTATTTTAACACATACACTACATAGGCCTACCTCGTTTTGTTGATACGTAGATCACAAATATACCCCATGATCATAAAATAATAAATAATAGCATTTTATTTCGGCTAAAATACAGCTTGTCCACAATATCCGTTGTCAACTCATGTCAAGCGGTACTTTAGAATTCACAGTCTGCTACACAGGTTGGTGCGTCCAGGATATTACTGTAGGTGAAAATGGCCACAAGAATTACTAAAGTTTAATTATTGGAATAAATAATCTTTATCCAAGGGTATTAGAGATTATATACTTGCTTTTCCACATTGGCGTGTACAAATATACACAGACAGATACGAAAGGCAACAAAATTATATAAAAACCTTGAAAAGGATTGACTGGGAAAACATTTAAGGATAAAAACACAGGAAAGTACAAAAAGCAACTTATTTCCACCGTAGTCCCCAAATGAGAATACTAAAATAACAGAAAAATAATAATATAACTACAAATATGGAAACAATACAATAAATGCATTTTAAATACTACAAAATCAATTTTGAAACATCATCAAATTTAAACTATATTGAATTATGAAGTTCAGATATATAATGGTCCTTTGAGTTCCTAACAGTACCATTATTAAAACAGGGTTTTTTTTTCATCTTGCTAGTCAGTTGTCCAGGAAACAAAACAAATCCTTTATTTACCACCACACCTTGCCATCACTTTCACGGAGAACAGAAACTGGATGCAAGCCAACAGTACCTGTGGAAACTGGCATTCTCTATAGTAAGTTGTACAAGCTGCGCTCATAATAGAAAGAAAATGCCCACATGTAGGCGTTACCTGACTACCCTTTTCATCTATGCAGCAGCAGTCATCTGATGATGCTACTTTCCTTTCAACCATGCAAGCACTTTTGTCTGGTTTATATTTATCCACTACGGGATCTTCGTTACTACTTTCTTCATGGAAAGTAGATTTCGGTTGACATGTCTTGGAATAAAATAAGCTGGCACATTTGTCTGTACTGCTTTCAGCTTCTGGCAACGTGTCCAACTCTGACTCCTATAACAATTATTATTGGATTAGACAATATTAAAAATTGACAATTTCTTCGCAATACCTACTGTATTTGATGACACAAATAACAAGTTACAGGAGTGAGTTTGCTTACCATTTGAGATGGGAATGGAGCTCTCACACTAGGGTTTACTGGTTTTGTGGTTGCATTTGGTACGCATTTTAAAACTGGATTCCTAAAGCTAACCGAACATTTCTACACAGACTTCAACGTACTGGTTCAGAATTTCAGCCATAGCAGTTAAAAAAGTTTTTTGGCTGACTTTCCCAAAGTAAAAGTGCCTACTCACGCCCACATCCATCTGTAAACTGTTCTCGTAGCAAAATGTCATAACTTGTCTGCATCTGCTAATTCTATCAAAACATCTTTCAAATTGCCGCAAATTAATGCCCACTTTCTCCAGCTTCAGGTCTTGCAAGATGTAGATGTCAAAACCCATCATGTCAACTGGAAATGCTTCAATAGAGCAGTTTAA